CAAACCAGTCCAGTCCAGTCCAGTCCAGTCCAGAACAAACCAGTCCAGTCCAGTCCGACTCACTGATGGTTTTAAATTTTTTATGACCGGCTGTAACATAAACACCGTCCGAGCGATGACCGATAACAGACGGAAACAATCGGGATCCAAGTGATGGACGCCCCCCGGTGGATGTGAGAGTCTGTGCAGGTGATGAAGTGTCTGCAGATCAGTGAGCAGCAACATTGAGATGTCGTCAGAGTCACGGTTTATTTTACAGCCTGTTTGTCCCTGAACGCAACGCTGAGACAAGACAATCGTTGACAACCTGTTGATGCAACATCGACAATTTTTATTTTTTTTTTGCAACTTTGCAGCTAAGGTCCGTGACGTCCTTCATCGTCTCAGTCTCGACCCGTTTCAGCCCGGACTCCGAACCTCCAACGTCAACTCCCGCTGCTTCGCTCGTGTCTCCCTGGTGGCGTGACGGTGCAACTACAGCGTCTCATTTTATTTCTTCTTGAAGTTTCCTGGCAGCTGGGTTGAATCTCCTTGGTCCGTCCTCTCTGAACACACACACACACCGCTGCCACCTGTTGGATATTCCCCAGCAGAACACGGGTCTGTTGGTATTCTGAGAGCAGGCTTTTCTTGGGTGTGTGTGGTTTTTTTTTTTTTTCTTTCTTTTTCTTTTGTTGCAGAGTGAATTCTTGACGGAGAGCTATTACCAGGAGGTGGGAGTTGATCTGGGCATTTGGAATTTATGTGCACCATATGCAGTGAGAGACTCACGGAGGGTTGGCTCTGAAAAGAAAGTGGGCTGTGAGTTGAAAAAAAAAAAGAAACGCTGCTGTGATAAATCAATAAGAGAAGAAAGGCCAGTTAGAACCAGCAGAGGACTTTATTATTATTATTTTTTTTTTTTCGTCTTCTTCAACACTTCAATAGAGAACAGGAACAGACAAAAAATAGAGAACAGGAACAGACAAAGACTATTTACAATCACAGGACAGTTTTGTCATTCATTAATATTCTTGGTGGACGACCGCAGGTGATCAGTAGTAGTCCTCCAGGTCCGCCTTCTCCCCCTGGTTCTGGATCTGCTGCTGCTTCTGGTACAAATCTGCAATCTGTAATAAAAAAAAACAAACAAAAAAAAGGACGGATGGAGCGGGACGGACAGACGGATGGATGGGATGGATGGAGAGAGGGGAAAAAAAAAGAAGAAGTCGTATCAGTGACATGTTGATTGTTTATATCCCAGACTTTGGAGTAAAACGATCGAGGCCTGAGACGGCGAGACCGCGTCCAGGTCCTGTCCTCGAACCAGGGGTTTGTTGTGTCGAGACGGTGACTAATGAGAAGGATCCAGAACGATCCTGATGGAGTTTTTATAAACGCTGCGTGGTTCCCAAACGGACACCTTGGCTCCGAACAGCGACGCAATCGCGTCGAATGATGATTGAATTGGACGATCGATCAATTAAGGCATTAATCAATCAATCATTAAGACTTTAAGTAATGACTCAAACGAACGCCAATCAGGCTGAAACGTTTGAACGCACGTTTCAGCGACGTGATTCGGTAAAACCGAGAGGTTCCAGGAGGTGTAGAACTGACAAGAGTTTAATAAACCCCCCCCCGGAGAAGACGTGAGGAAAGATCTGCAGGATCTGTTTGTTCTACTCAAGGGCAGGTGGTGGCGCTGGCCTGGAGGCTTCAGACTGATGAGGGAGAACTCGACATAATCGAGGGGGGGATGGAGGGGGGTGTTTTTCTTCTCCGTCTTTTTTTTTCTTCTCCCTCTCCAGAGGGAAACAGAGTCGTTTCTTTGAGGATTTTCAGGAGTTTCTGCTCAGATGTTCAGCTCACTTTACAGTCAAGAACCCAGGAAAAAAAATAAACAAAAAAAAAAAAAAATATTCCATCCATTTTCATTCCATTTTCTGGATTAAATGACGGGTCATGACACCAGACTCTCTGGTTCCTAACGTTGTTTCCGTCTCAGCCGTCGACTCAACGACAAACAATAAGACTCCAAATTATTCCTCCCTAACAAAAAACACCCACAAAAAAAAAAAAAAAAAAAATTTCCTTCATCCCAGTCGGGGTGGAACAAACGTCTCCTAATTGAAACCAGTGTCGTTTTATGGAGTTTGTCGTTGCCTCCTGACAGAGATCTCACTTCAGGCCTGGACTCTAACGAGCATGAAGAGCGTGGACGGGTGGAGGCAGATGGCGGCTCCAGGAAGTGGAAACTCAACTCACGTCTAATGAAGGCGAAAACAGTTTGGGTTTTGGCAGGGAAGAAAAAAAAAAAAAAAAGTTTTTCTTTTTTGGGGGCATCATTAAAAAAAAAAAAGAAAAAAAAAAAAAAACCCTTCAAATGTATGTGAGAACCACCTGTTCTGCTGCTGCTGCTGTGATTGGACGATGTCAACGACACCTGGTACATTTTGGAGAGTTTGTTTTCATTTTTCTGACTGTGTTCTAAAACTTTTGGAGAACTTTCTGGACGTTTTCCAGACCAGAAACAAACTGTTCTGAGACGATGCTGCAGTGCAGCAGTGGTCAGACAGGGGGCACTGTGGGGGAGACACTGATCCAGCTAATTGGACCTGTATTTTTTGTCTCGATAACTGAAAGATTAATCTGAACATAAACTGGAGCTGCTGCAGTCGTACCACCTGACACAAGCCCTGAACTGTGATTGGACGGTTCAAACTTGACCCTGAATAATCTCATCTCTGAGGTTTTAATGTGACGACACCTGACCTCAGGTCAGCTGACCTACCTGAGCTCCGCTCGTGGCGTCCTCGGGTTTTTTGTCGTCTCGAATTCTCAGGAAGCGAGGAAACCTCAGAGAAATTCCTTTCTCAGGGTCAACCTGAGGAAACAGGACCAGGGATTAGAACGAAACGCCGGGATTAAAATGGAACACCGGGATTAAAACAGAAGGCTGGGATTAAATCAGAATGCCAAGACTAAATTCTTCTTCTCCTCTAGTTGCCGCCATCGTTCCGTTGCCGTGACGTGGAGCTGCCAACGACTGAGTCGCGGCTCATAAACGCGTGTCTGTTCCATTAAACGCAGCAGCTTTTACCGCCGTTTTTAATAACTCCATTTAACTGTTGCTAATTATG